GTGTTTTGTGATACCAATCTCAAAATAACTCTGAAGTTGTGATCCTCCTGAGGCTTACGATGTAGACACAACTTTAGGTTCTTTGCTAGGTAAAGACCCACATTTGCTAATTCTTGAATCTATTGTCCATAATCTGTTCTGCCATGTGTTTCAGGAAATATATAAAAATAAGAGGGACCAGAAGGCTTCCCACGCTACTGTCTGAAACTCTCAGTCCTGGTGTGGTCCCACCACCTCTGTCTCCCTCCCATGGTTGCTAGTCACAGTATTCCCAGCTCTGGTTCACTTGTCTCTGGAGCTGCTAGTTCCTTCACAGCTACAACCCCCCTGAGATCAGCAGTCCCACCTTCCAATAACCCAGTAAAACAAAACTCTAGAAGCTTATAGTTAACCAGTCAGCTTTATATAACAATAAATTCACAATTCACAAGATGCCCACACAATAATTTCAAAGCCAAATGATAATAATACAAGCTGCCCACCTAGATTAGACAAGTTAGCCCAATTATTCTATCCCTATATTAAAAAACATATCTACCTGTGGCTATTTAAAGCCACACTAGCTCTGAATCATCCTGCTCATTGCCTTCCATCTTCCTCTCCCCCTCTCTCCTGAGACACTCTGTCTCTGCAACTCTTAGCTCAGCCTCCCTTTTCCCTGTCCAATCATAGGCCCCCTGATGCACTAATATTTTAATGTAATTGGACAAGGAAAATCCTGCCACAGCCATGTTCAACAGTTCCCTGTCTCAGATGCATGTGTGTGTCCCTGATGAAATATTTCAGTTTTGTGTTTCAATTTTGCTTTTCAATAAACTCTTGATTGTCTTGAGTGACTTTCTATGGCATAACAGCATTTACTGAGACATTTCTGTCACAACAGAACTGATATTATTCAAAACTCAAGGTCATGCAACTATATCTCGAGTTCATCACTGAAGAACTAATTGTCATCTTTTCTGTAGTGGAGCCCATTTCTTCAGTATAAATCCCACTGATCTGATTATAATTGTTTGGTTATTCAAGCTGTTTTACATAGCAGGTCTCTCGTCACTAATATTGCCCATTCTCTGTGAAGACAGATCCTTACCTCCACATTCAGGCTTTCCATACGTGGATGCCACTTTACCCTTTAGCAGGCTTTGGCTCTGACGGCACCAGGCTGATGTCCACCTATATCCTGTCCTGCCCAACTTGTTGGCTATGTAAATGAGTGTCTTATTAAAAGAGAAAATGGAGAGGGGCAAGGAGGCAAAACAATTACATTTTGGGGAAAAGAATAAAAGATACATTACCTGGGGGTACTTTCTCTTGTATTTACATTATAAAATAAGTTATTGTATATTTGTTCCTTTCGAGGCAGATGTGAAATTTTTCATCTTGAACAGAGTAACTGTGATCACTTGCAGGTAACCCTCAGGAAATTACATGTAGGAGCATCCCCTACTGGAGGGAGGGGTATTTCATAAGGTTCACTAGCCTTTAGGAGCTCCTCCCAAAGCCCCTCCCCTCCTTAAAGTTACATAATAGGTAATAATCAGCTGAGTAAAAACTCTGCAGCTGTACAGCTCACAGAAACTAAATGACTCAGGCAGATCTCAAGCATGTTAGCATACCTGACACCTGAGGGATATAGTTTTAGGATGATACATAGATGGAGCCTGTTAGCATTCTGTCTAAACTCCACCCCACAGTTACCTGGCAACGGTAGGTCCGCCCATTATAAAAGGGGCTGCTTGTTCCCTCTTCTCTCTCTTGTTCTCTTGATCTCTTGTTCCTTTCTTGCCCTCTTGGGCTCTTCCCTTCCCTCCCTTCCCATCCCCTTTCCCCTTCTATCTCCACATGCTCATAGCGGGCCTCTACTTCACTACTCTCTCTCTCTCTCTCTCTCCCTCTCTCTCTCTCTCTCTCTCTCTCCCTTTCTCTGACTGTACTACACTCTTAACTCCCCTCCCCATGCCCTGAGTAAACTCTATTCTGTACTACACGGTTGTGTGGCTGGTTCCTTAGGAGGAAGGGGTGCCTTGGCATGGGTCTGATATGACATTCCCTTCCCCCATATCTCACCACCCTTCCATAGAATATATTCTATCTATCTATCTATCTATCTATCTATCTATCTATCTATCTATCTGTATAAACACATTAGAGCCTGTCCAAAAGAATCACTCAAAATACTCTTAGGCTTTATACATATATTTAATAGAAATGACAAATTTATGTGAAAAGTATTAGAAAAAACTATACACATGATTTACTTAAAACAAAATTAAAATAATCAAACTGGAAAGAAATTGTTTTTGTTAATTTTTGTCAATGTGACACAAGCCTAGATATATCTTGAAAAGAGGTATCTTAATTGAGATTAAATTGGTCCAAACTGGATTAAACCAGTCTAAACCAGATTAAACAGGCAGGCCCTTAAACAGGATCAAGTTAGTCCAAACTAGTCCCAGCCTGTCTTAAACCTGTCCACACCCTATTAAACTGGATTAAGCCCATCCAAGCCATAATAAACTAGTCCAACCAAGTCCAAACCAGGTTGAATTGTTCCCAAAGGCAAGGCACAGATTAGGATGTGACCAGGACCTTGACAATGAGCAAGCGAGGGGTGGGGGGGGGGGAGATAAAGTTGAGTTAGGGCTAAAAGTGAAAGTGTGGGTTTGGGTGTACAACTGAAGGAGACTGGAGCTAAGGGTGACTCCTCCATTTCTGATACAGCGACCACACAGAAAACATTTTTCTTAGGAATCCTACAGCTTCTCTGGATGACTAAACATGACACAGCAGAGTAGCAAGGTCTTCTCTAGTCTGAACTGGTCTGAACCAGTCTGGGCTATGGAAGCCCTGGGAATCTTTCTAGAGTCCTGCAGCCCACTGTCACCAGGGTCCAAGTCACCAGGGTCCCTTTCAGCTTTACAACCCAGCTTCTGCCTCCAGCATGCACAGCAGGTGCTCACTGATCCTTAGTTTCCTGGTATCTGGACCTGAATGGCCTCAACCAAAAAGGGGCCCACAGCCAACCCCCTCCCTCCCACCTCAGCAGTGTCCCAGGTGCACAGCCTGAGGAGGGCTGCATGCGGACAGTCACTGGGCATCCCAAAGACCCAGCAGGTGCCACTCAAGCCTCAAGGCCAGAGCAACCTTCCTCCCTGACTGCTCCAGGACGAAAGTGATGCCAGCAACTTCGGGACTTGGATGGAAAGGGAGAGCTGAGCCTAAGAACCAGTTTTGTAAAACTTGTTTTTATACCTACTTATGTACTGGGGAAAGGAGGCATAGCAATGTCCTTGAGGAAGTCAGAGGTGAACTTGAAGAATCAGTTGGTTTTTCTCCTTTCACCTCGTGTGTTTCCTCTGGAAACTGAACAAGTGCCTTTATCTGCTGAGCAAGCTCCCCTGTCCCAGCTTTTAAAATTCTAAGAGTTTATTGTTCATATAGATGTGTGTGTGTGTGTGTGTGTGTACTCCCAGATATACTTGCCTGACCCTCTGTAGAGTCAGGATCTCTCCCTGAACCCAAGGCTGAGTTTTCCACGCCAGACTGTCAGTCCTAGACAAAGCAGTTTATTACTAGAGCACGAGGGTCTGAATTCTAGTTCCATGATCACATGACCATCATCTTACCCTCTGAGCTGTCTTGTCAGCCCAGGATACACTTGAAGAAGGGTGCAGCGCCAGAGCTTCCCAACTTTCGATTGTTTTTTTTCCCCTTTTAATTATTTTTACATTTCCCCCCCTCTGTCTACAGTGCTGACTCAGCTCCTGAGCCCAGAGAAAGGGGGTTGGGTGTCTTGCTTTGCCACTCTCTGTCTTAGTCCCTTCAGACGGGGTCTGCCACTAAACCTGGAGCTGGGCTACTAAGTCACAGTGACCCTGTCTCCACCCTACTCCATGGCTAAAGTTTTAGGCACCAGGACCATGCCTGGCTTTTTATGAGGTGCTAGGGGATTGCATTCAGATCCTAAGGCTTGCACAGCAAATTCTCTCACCACCGAGCCCTCTTTCTCCCTCTCATTTACTTTCTTATTCTTTTATTTTGTGAGTGCATGTGTGCACGTGTGTGGACACCTGTACGTGGAGGTCAGTGGCTCAAGTTCCAACTTGAGGGGAGCGGGGTTGGTGGGGGGGGGGCTGGTTACAGGGGAGGGGTGCATATCAGAGGGGAGGCAACTAGACTGGGCGATTCCTCCTCACACAGGCTCTGGGAGCTGCAGGAGAGAGATGGAGGAAGAAAGGCAGGAAGTGGGAGAGAAAGAGACCCACAATGTAGAAAAGAAAGCTTGTTGGCTATGGGGTACTAGGGTCCTCTCTAAGTCTCATAGTCCTGCCCATAGCCCAATCCAGACGAGTCTTCCTCGCTGCCGCCAGGGGGCGCCCAACTCACCTGGGAGGGCAGGGACCAGGACCAGGGCTGCAGGAGGTGCAGAGAGGCGGCTCCAGGGCTGCAATCTGTGGACCGAGGCTAACTGAACAGTGCTCTTGTCAGAATCCCGCCCTGCCGATGCCTGGACTCCGAGCTGGGGCGAGGGATCCCGAGGAGCAGGCAAGTCAGATGGGACGGGCCCACTGCGGAGCCGCTGCTGCTGGAAGTTAAGTTGCCCAGAGCGGGTACCGGAGTGCCCGGACTCTGCATGCAGCTGCGCAGGCTCCTCTGCGGGGCAGCAAGAAGGGAAAAGTGGAGCCAGGGTGTGGCCACCTGCCTCTTCCTCTTTCTTCCTCCCCTCCCTTGCTCTTCCCCCACTCTTCTTTTTTTTCCTCCCTCCCTCTCCTTTCATCTCTTTTTCATCCTCCATCTTCCTCTCCTCCCTCTCCTCTCATAAAGGTGCTCAAGTCTCCCCGCAACCTCTACCAGGCCAGCGAGCAGGTCTAGACTCCACCAATCAGTCACCAGGCACAGGGGTGGGGCGTCTTGCCAGCGAGGTGGCTCGGGGAGAAGATGGGGGATTCCTGGCCTGGGAGAGGGCACCAAGGAGAGAGAGGCCAAGTCACCCAGCGAGACCAGAGCCCGAGATCCGCGCACCCTGCTGCCCCGCCCCCGGCCCCACCCCTCACTGAGAGTGGGGCGAAAGGGGGCCGACGGCTGTGGTGAACAGGGTTTCCTTAGCCTGCAGCCAAGGAACAGGTGGGGCCTGGTAAGACACCTCAGAGTGAGACATCACAGGGTCACTCTGAAGACAAAGAGGTAGGAGAATGAGGAAGAGGGTCACTGTCTTCTCAGGCCTATACCCAAGGCCTGGGGGTGCTGAATGGGCTCCATCGCTGCTCCATAGCCTAGTTCCAGGCAGAGGCCTCTCTCTATGAAGCATTGGTGTCAGATCATCCGAGAAATGGTGGCGGGAAGACTAGTTTGGTGAACTCTTACATATTCTTCAAAGCCCGGGTCATAAAACCCATTCCTCCTCAGGGACTGATTCCTCAGGCACCCAGGACAAGACCAGCTTCAACACTGGGGGCTCTGCCTCCTAGCCCTTTATCACTCTGAGGTTAACTCTTTAACTCTTTATTGCCCTTTAACTCTCTGAGTTACAGCCTCAAACTCTGTATTGGAAATGCGTTTGGGCTCAGAGGGATTTGAAGAGAGAACAGGGCAGTCCTCTTGCATAAACCAAGAGGTAGGAGGAAGGCCAGGCCTCTGTCACCTCCCACAGTCCTCAGCAGCTTCTGTCCCGGCCCCTCCGGCCCCTCATCTGCCTCCAGCTCAAGACCATCCAGACCACCCCTCCTCTTGAGTGTCTGTGGGGACAGCAGATGACAGGATTGGCCACAAGAAGATATGCACAGATTAAGGTTGGTCTTCTGACCTTAAGTGAACTGGATTTTAAGTTAGTCTTTTCTACCTCAAATGATTTAATTAATTAAACACACACACACACACACACACACACACACACACAGAGATGTGTGCCTAGTGATTTGAGTTTTTAGTTAATCCCAGATATAGTCAAGTTGACAACCAAGTATAGCCATCACAGTTGGGTTATCTCCGTGAATATTTGTTATTCTTCCCCTGGAGAGCCGTCTACACCATCTGGTGTAACTGTGGGTGGCTTCACAGACATTGAATAGCCCACACACACCTGTTTGTACAGTTCACACAATCACAATTCCATTACAGATAAAAGAATCCACTTCAAATGGTTTTCCAAGAAACCTTTTTTAAGTTTTGTATTTTTATTATTCTTAATTATGTGGGGGTGGGGTGCTCACTTGTGAGTGACCCCAGAAAAAGCAACAGCTCCCCCGAAACTAAAGTTACAGGTGGTTGTGAGCCTCCCAATAGGATTACTTGGAACAAAATGTGGGTCCTTTGCAAGAGCAATACATGCTCTTAACTGCCAAGCCATCTCTCCTGCCCAAGAACAAAAACTTTTAAAAATATTTAACACTTCCCCAAATTACCAGTTAGAGATGCAGGCTGTGGCCTGAGCTCCCTAAGGCAAAATGTAGGTATAGTAAATATCATTTGAGAAAAAAATCTTTTAATAATGAAAAGAGGAGATTAAAACAAAATTAAAAGTAATTCTTCAAATCTAACTTTGTGTTGTAAAAAAATCAATATAAACTCATGGTAAGTAGTTTTAAACCTTTAAAAATAGACATTTTCTGAATCTTTCTCAGAAGGAGAAATAAAATAGATATCGGTCATGGGTGGAGGGAGGGAGTTGGGTGGGAGAGGGGATGGAGAAGGCATCAGGGGCTTATGGGGGCAACCCCAGCTAAGACTCCTAGCTGTAGAGGATATGGAGCCTAAAGTGGCCACTTCCTGTAGGCAGGCAGGACTCTGAGTGGAGAAACAAAGACAGCAGCCCACCCACAAAATTTTTGACTAAAATGTGTCCTGCCTAAAAGATGTGCAGTGACAAAGATAGAACAGAGACAGAGGGAATGGGCAACCAATGACTGCCCCAGATTGAGACCCACCCCATGGGCAAGAACCAATCCCCCAGCACTATTAATGATACTCTGGGATGCTTGCCAACAGGAGCCTAGCATAATTGTCCTCTGAGAGGCTCAACACAGCAGCCAATGAAAAGAGATGCAGAGACCCACAGCCAAACATTAGATGGAGCTCAGGGAGTCTCATGGTAGAGTTGAGGAAAAGACTGAGGGACCCAAAGAGGACAGGTACTCCACGGGAAGATCAACAGAATCAACTAACATGGACTCTTGAGGGCTCCCAGAGACTGAATCACCAGCCAAAGGGTGAGCATGGGCTGGACCTAGGCCCCTGCACATATGTAGCAGATGAGCAGCTTGGTCTTCATGCGCCCCCCGACCCCCCCGAATCCATTGGCTGCCTGCCTGTGGACCCCATTCCCCTAAATGGACCACCTTGTCTGACCTCAGTGGGAGAGGATGCACCTAGTCTTTCATCGACCTGATGTGCCGGAAGGGTGAGTGATACCTAGAAGGGGCTCCCCCTTCTCAATGGAGAAGGTGAAGCCGGAATTGGGGGAGGATCTGTGTGAGGGGATACTGGGTGGAAACAGGCAAGGGGGACTGATATTGGGATAAAGTGGATAAATAAATAAATTTAATAAAAATTAAAAATTAAATAAAGTAAAAATAAATGCTTTCAGCAGGCAGATATCAAGCGCAAACCGGCAACTGTAGTTCAGACCTGAAGGAACAAGGCACACCAACTGGCCTGAGACAAGCTGCCACAGGGACCTGGAGAGCAGTTCTTGGTCGAGTTTCTTCTCTCAATGATGACCTTACCACAAGTTGAACCCAACAACACTATGTAAGGTGAACCAATACATTAGTGTCTTTAGTAAAGACTATCAAAACGAAGCAAACCAAACCAAAGCTCAGTGCTCGTCTCCCACTGTCTGTGAGGTCATATTTATATTCCTTCATCAGGCATTCTTTCATGTGTTTGCTATATCCAAACATCTCTTCACTTGTGTCTGCTTCAGGAAAACAGTCTTTCACTTGTTTGCTTTAGCAAGACATCTCTTCACCTGTGTGCCCCAGGAAAACATCATTTGATCTAACTAACTTTCCAAAGAACTAGAAGTTTCCACTTCAGGAAAGATGTCCCAGTGGTTAGAGAACTGGCTGCTCTAGCAGAGGACCTGGGTTCAGTTCCCAGTGCCCACGTGGCCTGTTAGAATTGTCTGTAACTTCACTTCCAGAAGAGCCAATGCCCTCTTCTGACCTTGTCCAACAGCAGGCATATATGTAGTGCACAGACATATATCCAGGCAAAACACACACACACACACACACCACAAAACCAAATCTCTAGTTTAAAAACCTGAAGAGAAAAGCAAAGAGAAATCATGGGAGGCAGGATATCATCAGACATTATCTATTTTAGTCCTTTCTCTACAGCCATCCTTCCTTTCAAACACATAAAAATGTGCTTGTTTATAATGCTTATTGTGTTTCTAGAAAGTTTTCAACCTTGGTCTTTGGTTTACAAAGACATTTCCTGTAACAACCTGTTGGGTCAGTCAACAGGGTCTCCAGCGCAGGAGTGAGGATGCACGCTTCTAATTTCTGCTGTCTTTTACTGTACCCCGCTTACTGGAGCTCCAACGTTGAGGCGCCACTTTGTAGCTGCCCATTCTGCTGCTCCGGTCCGCGGGTCAGGGCCTAGCAAGAGAGAGAGTGGGAACGGAGACGCGAAGAATGGAGACAAGACAGGGAGTCTGATCAAGTCTCTTCAAGTCTCTTTATTGGAAGGAAATCTTGGGTATTTATACCCTTTACCACATGCCTTGCCCTTGTGGACAAGCACAGCTGAAGGCACTACATCATGTGCCTTGCAGTGTGGATATCACGTGTGCCTAGCTAGCAGTGAGGAGACCATGTGCACCATGCAGCTGGTGGCACTAAACAGCAAAACAAGATATGTGAGAAAAACAAGACATTTATCAGAGTGTGCTCAGCTGTTGTGGGCTGTTGAATACAAGTCTCTTGTCAGGGTATCTGGCCTGAGATGGCTGCAAAGATGATAGCCACTTTCGGCTAGGAGTCGGCTCCCAACAGGTCCCCCTTTTTAAATTTGTTTTCAAAAGGGAAGGCTGGGAAAAACTTATGGAAACCGTGTCTGTCTTAGGTTGGAACAAAGGACCCCAGCCTCCCTTTCCCGTCTTTGGATACTCAACAGCCATTGGTTGAGTTCTTGTCTTAGGATGGTGAGGCCTCCCAGTTCGGGGCAAGGGTCTTGAGGTGTTCTCTTACCCGTCATTGACTATCCGGCTTAGCGCGTAAGTTAGGGGTTAATCTTCGTCAGTCTTGATGACAGAGGTTTTTGAGTCCCCTACTTTCAGCCTGTAATAATGGACCTGTATGGGTTTCATTTGAATAGCATCTGTCTGTTGTCATATGAAAGCCATCAGTCTGTTGAACAGCATGAACCCGAGAGACAAGAGACTTAATTCCTGAATGGTTGATGTAAACCATTCTGCCTCAGAGCAACACTCTTTTTTAAGGGTAGCACACAACTCCCTCTGTTGGAGGAGTGAAAAGTATAAGCCTCTTCTATTCTGTAACACAATTTTCTAAATAGAAATCTATATAAGTACAGAACTGATCATAGCTTTGATCTTAACAAGTAAGGAAGTCTCTGTTCTTGCCCTAATCAATCTCAAACCCAAAAAACAACTATAGTAACTGTGGTAATGGGTTTTTTCTTGGGTCTAAACAATGTACCCCACTAAATTATAAATCAGGGAACCAAGAGTCCAATAGAGCCACCCTGGAGGTGCAGGTGGTGATGTCTTCTTTTGTACTGAGAACTTTCTAAGTCAGGTATGCTGGTTGATCCGCTCCAGTGAAGCATCTTCATGTTTCTTGCAAAGAAAAAATATGCTTCCCAGGGGATTTCTCCTCCCTGGATTTGTTATTGTTGTCTATTTGTTTAATCAGTCTCTCTGGCAGCCAGCATGTGGCATCTGCCATTTGAGAATCAGAGGAACCAAAATATGCATCAGAGAAATCAAAGCCTTGATCCCCTCTCTTAGTACTCTTATATTTGTGATTAGTAGGGATCAATGGGATTAACAATAGTTGAGCTATCCTCCTTCCTGTAGGAATGGTGACTATATTCTGTATTGTCTTGGCCATTACCTTAATCTCACCTTGATAATCACTGTCTATAACTCCAGGAAAAATTTGTAGTCCCTGCATAGTAGCACTGCTTCTTTTCACTATCAGGCCAAACACATTTGGATAGAGTGGTCCAAACACTCCAGTAGGTAAGGCCTGAGGTCTCATTTTTGGGGTTAATACTGTGTGGGTGGCAGAACTGAGGTCTAGTCCTGCGCTTCCTGGTGTTGTTCGACTAAGTTCAGAAAGGGGTTGTTGTTTGTTGGTATGAAACTGACTGCCCCATAAGCCTGTTTTGGCTTGTGTTGGTTCGGGGCCTGGGGCTGGCCCCTGTTCCTGTTTCCCTGATTATGGGAAAGGGCGTTTCCTTGTGTATCTGTCTTGGACCTACATTCACTAGCCCAATGCCTTCTACGTTTGCAACGTGGGCATAGGCCAGGCTGTTTTCTAGGCTGTCTCTGGGTTAACTCATTCTCTGCCTTGCAATCTTTTGCAAAGTGTCTAGGCTTGCCACATTTAAAACAAGTCTTTTTGTCTCTGCTTGTCAAAAAATCTCTCACTGATTGTCCTTGCATGGCAGCTGCCATAGCTAAGCCCTGTTGGTAAGAGGGCCCTATGTCAGAACAGAGTCTGATATATCTAGTAAGGTCTGTCTTTTTCCTATAGGGTCTAATGGCCGCTTGGCAGGCAGAATTGGCATTTTCATATGCAAGTTGTTTTACATAATCTACACCTGCCTCTGCATTACCAAAAATTCTTCCTGCTGTTGTCATTAATCGATGAACAAAATCAGGAAATCTTTCATCAGGCCCTTGTCTGACTAAGGTCAAAGGTGTACCAGGGTCTCCATTTACAGGGAGATTGCGCCAAGCCTTCATGGCTGCATTTTGAATTTGAGCAAATAAGCCTGGGTCATATTGCATCTGGTTATCACTAGAAGCAAATTGTCCTTCTCCTACTAAGGCATCAAAGGACCAACCATTACCTGCCTGAATGTTTTTCCTAGCTGTCTCTTTACAATTCTCATGATACTCTGATTTCCAAATAAGATAGTCACCACCGCTAAGAACTGCTCTCATTAGAGTATTCCAATCACCAGGAGTCAGCCACTCCTCTGCAACAGATTCTAAGATTGCAAGAGTAAAGGGAGCAGTGGCACCATATTGGGCCACTGAATTTTTTAATTCTTTAATAATTTGAAAATTAAACCCTGTGTGATGTCTCCATGCAACCCCTTGAGCGTCTCTAGTCTCTGATACAGGGAAAACCTCAGCCTCTCCCTCCTCTGGCTGATCTGTGGCTGAACTAAAACCAGAGGACAGGGGCTGCCTTTGGACTCTGGGTTGAGGAACTCGAGGACCTGAGGAATTTTCCTTGTCCTCTCGAGATATCTTCCCCGTCTTTAATTTTTGTAGCTGATTAATTAAGCCCTGATACTCTTCCTCTAACTCTATTTGTTGTTTAAGAAGAGAAATTTGTTGTTTAAGGAGAGAAATTTTGTCCTGTAACTCCTTTCTGTGATCTACAACCACCCAGGAAGGGGGCCTTCGGGAAGAGGACCATTCAGGGTCGTAATATTTGGTTGCCTCTTCCTCTTGGTTAGCACAATCTAGCTCTGACAAATCTATTACTTCAACCTTTGGTCTTATTTTGGATTCTATGCTTTTCTTTTTCTTTTGAACATGAAAGACAACATTTAAACAGCGAAACAAAAGCAGACAATTGACACATGTAAACAGCAAACAACAAAACAACAACAGAGAGTTGAGTTCAGGCTGACTTATTTCCTGCCCCATTATCATTACTATGACCTACTGGTCTCCACATGGCTGTCGCAGTCACCACTGTTTCACTTCTGAAGTTTCAGTCGACCCTTCTTCCGGTAACGTTTCTCACTGAGCCTCTCGTTCTTGCCGCCCCACGTTGGGTGCCACTTTGTAACAACCTGTTGGGTCAGTCAACAGGGTCTCCAGCGCAGGAGTGAGGATGCACGCTTCCAATTCCCGCTGTCCTTTACTGTACCCCACTTACTGGAGCTCCAACGTTGAGGCGCCACTTTGTAGCTGCCCGTTCTGCTGCTCCGGTCCGCGGGTCAGGGCCTAGCAAGAGAGAGAGTGGGGACGGAGACGCGAAGAATGGAGACAAGACAGGGAGTCTGATCAAGTCTCTTCAAGTCTCTTTATTGGAAGGAAATCTTGGGTATTTATACCCTTTACCACATGCCTTGCCCTTGTGGACAAGCACAGCTGAAGGCACTACGTCATGTGCCTTGCAGCGTGGATATCACGTGTGCCTAGCTAGCAGTGAGGAGACCATGTGCACCATGCAGCTGGTGGCACTAAACAGCAAAACAAGATATGTGAGAAAAACAAGACATTTATCAGAGTGTGCTCAGCTGTTGTGGGCTGTTGAAAACAAGTCTCTTGTCAGGGTATCTGGCCTGAGATGGCTGCAAAGATGATAGCCACTTTCGGCTAGGAGTCGGCTCCCAACAATTTCCAGTGTCTGGAACTATAATAGTATGAAGTATACACTTGATATGTACTTGAAGAGTGGTTTCTATCAGTGAGAAGAATCATTGCCCTTCCTGTGTTGTATGGAACCCAGTGTGAACAATCCATATGGAAACTGCCCTGTAGGGATCCGGCACAGTATGAACGCCAGTTTTAGCCCATCTGTCAGGTTAGGGAACTTAGCAATGCTAGACAGACCTTGGGAGCAGATGTTTGTATAAATGAACCTAGATATAGCCTTCCACCAACCCACTCTTTGCCCAATCCCTTGGAGCAATTTCTTACAGTAACAAGAGGGAAAAAGCATGAGGCAGATTGCCATGTTCCTCCGAACCCTGAGATCCTTCTCCCAGGAAAGCCATGGGCAAGTCGTCATCTAAGACACAGTGTTTTCATCCTCTGACTGGGTCCATTCAGAGAAGTCCACCAATAGAACTTTTGCTAAAGTGAAGCAATACCAAGCAAGGAGGTACTCAGAAAACTGTCCTGACAAAGGAACTTGGATCACACAGCCACATAATAAGCAGGTCATCTCTTTATGAATTTGAACAAACTCAAATCATGCTTGTATCTTTATGCATATTCACAGCTACTCTGTTTTCTTTAGTGCCAACTACAATTGTAACTGGACCACAGACCTTAGAAGGCCCTCAGACCTAAACACAACCAACTCCAGGATGGAAATACCATTCAGGTCATAAAATTCAGCACATGAACAGCATCACCTGCCAAAAGAAAGAAAAGAAAAGAAAAGAAAAGAAAAGAAAAGAAAAGAAAAGAAAAGAAAGGAAGGAAGGAAGGAAGGAAGGAAGGAAGGAAGGAAGGAGGAAAGAAAGAAGGAAAGAAAGGAAAGAAAGAAAGGGAAAGACAGACCTGCCAGGCAGTGGTGGCGCACACCTTTAATCCCAGCACTTGGGAAGCAGAGGCAGGCGGATTTCTGAGTTCGAGGCCAGCCTGATCTACAGAGTGAGTTCCAGAGTAGCCAGGACTACACAGAGAAATCCTGTCTTGAAAAAACAAAAAAAAAAAGAAAAAGAAAAAAGAAAAAAAAAGAAAACACAGACCTAATCCATCAAAGTCCATAATTCTTGTAAAGTCTCTAAATGTACTAACTTGCTTTTTGGGTTCTGTAATTCTGCTTCTGGCTAACTGTTCTTGTTAACTGAAGTATGTAAACCCAGGATGTGGTTTTGTGCTTAAAAGCTTACCCTGAGAAAGGCTTGGGACCATATTGGGACCCCAGACACACAGTGTAGTTGCTGGCTGACAAATAAAGACTTTTTATTGGCTGACACCCATGACCGAGTACTCTTCCATGATGGACACTCCCACAAGATTTTGGAAGATCCCACCAAGATCACAGAGGACAAGGCTTGAGAAATTAGGGGTCTTAGAGTCCCTTGGAGCATGTAAGAGTGGGAGTGGTCAGGAGACACCTAGGGAGTACACAACCTGAGATGTTCTAGAGCTCTCTTTGATCAATCACTGCCTAACACTTCAGAGGAATGTAAAACTTTCACACCAAAGGGAACACATTAGAAAGTCACCTGGTCTGTCACCTCCAGGGGTAAGTCTGGCTAAGGCATCTTCTAAACAGGAGAGGTGAGACAGCACCTGCTGATCCAGTGTTCAGGACCCACATGAGATGCCATTGGATCTCTCCCAGAAACTGTTTGTTCAGGAGTATCACTGTGTGGTGGCCACCCCTGGATTCTTTACTGTGTGTCTCTTTATCTGTCTTTCTATGTGTTTCTGTTGGTTCTGTTTCCCTGTTGGCTTTCTCTGGAATGAGAACCCCCAGCTTAAGACCTGTGTGCTATTGTTAGGGACCTGAATACTTTGGTTCTGCCAGGTCATCCAGAGAAAGCCCCCCCCAAACCTTGCCTGCCTCACTCCTGGAGAACATGCTTGTTTCACCACTTGGCTCCTGCTCATGTTCCCAGGGTTGTCCCCATTCCTGGGTAGAAGCAGGGAGAGTCCAGGCATCTCATCTAGGGACCCCTGCCATCTAAGCAGAATGCACACACCCAGGGCTTTCTCTTCCTGGTACCATGGATCTGGATGTAGGACTCTTGGCTACATCTCCAGTTAGTTCCATGCCTACCTGCGTGCCACCATGCTCCCCACCATGATGAAAATAGACTAAACTCTGAAACTGTAAGCAAGCCTCAGTTAAATGTTTTCTTTAGTTGTTGTGGTCATGGTGTCTCTTCACAGTGATAGAACATTGATTAAGACAGGTATCCTGGTGACCTGCCAGTCACCCTGGGATACACTTCTCCCAACTGTGAAGAATCTTAAGACTTCTGATTCTCATGAATCTGATTCTTTCAGGAAAACAGGTATACACTATCTTGAATCTGAAAGATGCATTTTTTAGCCTCCCATTGGCAGAGGTGAGTCAACCCATTTTTGCTTTTCAATGGACAGACCTAGAGGGAGTTTATAATGGGCAACTTATCTGAACCAGGTTGCCCAAGGATTTAAACATTCTCCAACCCTGTTTTAAGAGACACTCTGTACTAATCTCCTGCCCTTCTGCCAAAGAATATTGGCTAAGAACGCCCAACTTTGTACATCAGAGGTTTTCTATCTTGGCTACCCACTAAGGGGAGGCAAGAGGAGCCTGTCTCAGAGTGGGATTGCTGCCATTCTTCAGATCCCAACTCCAAAGACTGAGAGACAGATCTGAGAGTTCCTAGGTCAGCTAGTTAATGTCTGCTGACTTTGGATACCAGAGTTTACAGAAATAGCAAGGCCTCTAAACGGCAGCACAAGAAAGCACCCTAATCTGGATTGAGACTGAACAAAAGGCACTGGAGGCTTTAAAAACAGTTCCAAACTCAGCTCCAGTCCTGGAACTTTCAGATATGTCGAAGCCTTTTCATCTGTTTGTCCGTGAACAAAAGATATTACAAAGGGGTTCTAATGCAAATATTGGAGCCATGGAAATGCCCTGTGACATACCTGTTGTTTGAACCCCATAGACTCATCTTTCTAAGAGCCATGATGGCTACTGCTAGGCTAATAGTAAATAAATATGTAAATAAATAAGTAAATAAATAAATATGTTAACTCTGGTTCAGGATCTTATACTCACAGTACTTCACCACTGAGGCCTTCCTCTGAGGAACGCCAGAATATTGGCTGTCTAATGCCTGTGTCACCCAGTACCGGGCTCTTCTCCGGACCACCTTCCAGACCTGTTTGATCAATCCTGATAACCGTTTGTCTGATGATTCCCTGCAGGTGAATCATCCACGGCTGTAACTAGATGAAATGTAAAGCCAGGTGTGTGGGAGCTGCAGCAGCTGCGTCCTTGCTTTGGTTTCGGCCCTCTACGTTCTATACAGGGATGGATTTCCTCTCATGAGACTATGTTTGGAGGAACCCATACACATACATACTGCTTCCCCAGCTCAGAGACCAGCACTTGGCAAAACTCTCTAGCTATCCCTCTCTAAAGTCACTACAGATCCTCCAGTCCTCTATAAAGGCTATTCATTGAAGTGTCTGAGAGATCCAGCTGAACCCTGAGGCTACCACCAATTTCCCCTTGTTTGAGACCAGTGATACCATCTGAGTCAAGCAAGTAGTCAAAGGGGCATTGGAGCCAACCTGGCTCTCCACTCCTACAGCTGTAAAGGTTGCTGGCATTATACCCTGGATCCACCATGGCCAGGTCAAGATAGCAAAAGCTCTCTTGAGTGGACTATCTCCAAATCATATACCCACTAAAATTAGGACTTTAACAAGCCCCAGACCCTTCACTCCAGCCCTCCCACCCACATCTACCTCTCCTTGAGGTTTTCTGAATTAGACAACAGTTAGATTCCCCTGTAGAAATGGTCCTACAGAGTTGAAGAGGCTTAGACTTACTTCTTGTGAGAAAAGGAAGACTATGTATGGCTTTCGGGAAATCTGTAATCTATGCTGGTCAGTTAGGAGTAATTTTAACAAGTCTTGCCATGATTGGGAAGAACCTCAAAAAGAGAGAAAAACCTAAATCAAATAACTGGTGCCAGTCTCTGTTCTTTCTCTTGGCTCCCCTTAGCAGTGAGTCCATGATTTGACTCAATCACTAAGACCAGTGAGGAATTTAACTGGCCCCTAGACATTAATAGGCTCCCAGATCTTAGCACAATGGACTACATATGAAAGTATCATTCAAGCCATAAAAGTCAGCATGTAGACAGTATCACATATCTAAACAAAGCCAAAGACCTAGTCCATCAAAGTCTACAGTTCTAGGAAAGTCTCTAAATGTACTAATCTTGTTTTTTGGCTTCTGTAGTTCTGTTTCTGGCTAACTGTTCTCATTAACTGAAGTATGTTACCCAGGGTACGGTTTTTGTGCTTGCTCACCATGAGAAAGGCTTGAGGCTGTACTGGGATCCCAAACACCCAAGGTAGTCTCCATCTAGCTAATAAAAACTACTGGCTTCAACTATCTTCTGAGTAGTTTTCTCTGGTGTGTATCCATAACACTGTCCATCAGGCTTCAGAGTAGACAATGGAATCTACTCTAGCTCACTTATGAGAAGACAGATTTAGTGCAGGATATCAAACAGGAGGTTAGAGAGGACAGCACCAAACCAGGCCTCCAGGTACAACTGTGAGGAACGAACAGAGCTAGCAAGCTGGCAAGCTGGCTCCAGAACCTTACAACTCCTGCTGCCACTGGGAATGCTCTCAGATCAAAAGGCTGTCATCAGCCTACAGAAACTCAGAAGAACAAACACACCCATTTCTGCCATCCAGCTTCCTGGAGATCCACAAGGCCACAACATATTACACCAAGCCCACATCTGAATCTTTAGTGGAATAGAGGCTACATGCAGAGGCCTTGGCTTACTGAGCAAGAGGTCACTCAAAAAGGAAGTTGAGTTATATTTAAAATAGACACTTTTCAGTATTTGCCTCAGAATTCATTTTAAATTGTGTGTTTGTGAATACATGTGTGTCTCTGTACACATTTCCAGCATAACTAGTAAAAAATGGAAGACAGGAGTGTGTCTAAGTGTGTGGGACCATGAAAGGATAGCATGGTTTCTGGTCAAGCACTGGCTAGAGATGGCCGGAGACCCAACAGGTATCCCTGCAAGAGATGACATAAATTTCACCACAGTCCCAGACTCCAGGCTCCTGACACGAGGCTGAAGACATCCATTGACCCCTATCAGCTCCTCCACAGATAGAGGGCATGACTACAGGCAGCAGTGCCTCAAGAGATCTCCATATTAATGAGATACCTAAAGGTCAGAGGCCTGCCATGGGGAACTAGCCCCAGAGGGGACTTTAACCAATGAGTCACCACCTAATCTCCTCTGGAGGACCTCTGCATTTCCATCACAGAGACCACCAACTCAAGCAAGCCAGCCGAACCAGCCGATACCCAGACAAGTGAGTCGCTGTGACCAAGGGTCTCACTACCCCGCAGGGTGCTGCTGGAGCTTCTTTCCCTCATCCTCCCTTGGCTGTGGGCCGGTCCAGCTGGTATGCTCCCAGTCTCAACTCTTCCAAGGCTCCAAGTAGTGCCTGGTAGCCCAGGAGTCTGAGACCAGTCGATTCCTGCTCACCTTCTTCCCCGGGGTCCCCACCCAAGAGCTCTGCCCCCATGGGTCTCAGACCGAGATCTCCCCATGCCTGGAGTGGAGCTCGGTGGCTTCTCATAGCCCAGCATCCGTGCCCAACGCTGTGTGGAGTAAACTCAGTCAAATTCCAGCGCTTCTGCCTCCCTGAGTCGTGGCAGACACACGGGACCCACAACTCAGCCCAACAGGACCCAAGCCCATGT